GTCTAACCCATTTAATTTTTTTTAAAATTAATTTATGCCTTAAATAATAAATTATTTAAAAATAAAGTCTCTCTTACCCAAACTGCCGGGGGAAAAAACATACTTTTCCTTCTATTTGAGCAATTTTGTATATACTTTACGGAAGCTGGATATGAGAAATTCTCTAGGCTTCCAGTTCTGAGAATTTTCTTAGAAGGAGCTTTACATTCTCAGACAGAATGTGATGTTGGCTCCATTCTTAATCACATCAATATCAAGGTTAGTAGCACAGGGATGTATTATCTGTTAACAAATGACCGCAAACTTATTATAATTCTGTCATCAGTCTGACATGGGACCCACTGGGCTGGTATCCATGTATGGGTAAAGTTGTGTTCTTCCTGGAGGCTCTGGGAGGCATCTGTTGCCCTGCCTGTTCCAACCTCTAGAGGGCACCTGCACTCCTTGGCTCCTGGCCACTTCCTCCATCTTCAAGGTCAGCAGTGCAGAATCTCTCTCATCTTTCTCACATCTCTTTCTCTGACCACGACTGGGAAAAGGGTCTCCACTTTTAAGGATGCTCTGAATACACTGTACCCACCCAGATAATCTAGGACAATCTCCCCCATCTCAAGGTCCTACACGTTGGCATCTACAAAGTCCCTTTTGACATGTAACATATTTACAGCTTTCCCTGATTAGGATATGTACCTTTTTGGAAGGCCACTATACCTATAGAGAACAAATCTCAGGAAATCTTTGTAGTAAACATGAGACTATGAAAAAGACAGCAAACCAATGGTTATAAGATTTAGAAAAAGTGGACAAATGGATACTGACCTACTAATCACAGGGACTGCTGACAATTCTCCTGGTATGTGTGACTTCAGATACTCTATCTAGGCCCCACCTCTTTGCTCTCCAAAAGATAGTTAGAAAGTAAAAGGAAGGAAGACATTCGGTGCAAGCAGTAAGAAGGAAAGCAGATCAGACTATATTAACATCAAAGGAGAATTCAAGATAAGTAGTTTTACCAAAAATAAGGAGGGATTATTTAGGGCAGTAAAAGTATCCATTTAGCAAGAAATCATAACAACCCTGCTATAAACTGAATGTTTGTGTCCCCACACCCCCAAATTTATGTGTTGAAATCCTAATTTCCAATGCAAAGGTATTTGGAAATTGGGCCTTTGGGAGGTAATTAGGTTTAGATGAGATCATGAGGATGGGGCCCCCATGATGGGAATAGGTGTCCTTATAAGAAAGGTCTCTCATATACCCCTACTCTCACGCTCTATCATTTGCCATGTAAGGACAGAGCAAGAAGGCATCTGTCTGCAAACCAGGAAGAGAGTCCTCACCAGGAACCAAATCATCCAAGCACCTTGATCTTGGACTTCCCAGTCTCCAGACTGTGAGAAACAAATTTCTGTTGTTTAAGTCACCCAGTCAATGGTATTTTTGTTATAGCAGCCTGAACTAAGACAACTCCAAATATGCATGCATCAAATAAAAGCTTCAAACACATGAAGCAAAGTAGGCAGAACTAAATAGGGAAACCCATAAATATTGGTCAATATTTTAACAAGCAGAGACAGTAATTAGTATGGAATCTGAAAACATGAACACTATCAACCAGCTTAACTTGACATTCACAGAATCCCATACTCAATAACTTGTCTATATTGATGTACTTTTCAAATGCACATGGAACCATTTACCAAGATAGATTATATCTGTATTTTTTTATGCTGGGTCATGAAACAAGTTTTAAAACATGTTAAAGGACTGAAATAATATAGAATATATTCTCTGACTAAGAAGGAATTAAAGTTGACAACTAAAAGATATTTACAAAGCTTATAAATAGTGATTAGGCAACATACTTCCATATAACCCATGGATCAAAAAAGAAAAAATTTATATGGGAAATTCAAAAGCATTTCAAACTGATCAGTACTGAAAACACAACATATTAAAATATACTGGATTCAGCTAAAGCAGTGTATCAATGGAAACTTACAGCTTTAAGTGCTAATATTAGAAAAGAAAGATTTAATATCAATGATATAAGATTATACCTCATAAAGGAAGTAAAGAGAAAATTAAATACAAAGAGGGGAAAAAATAAGAGATTAGGATATGACAATTAAAAAATCATAAAGAACTGATATATAGTCATTGTTGGTTTTTCCATTTGTGGAACTTGTGCTTCCTGTTCCTGTAAACTCAGGCACTGTCAGATAACAGATCCTTGTTCTTAGGGAGAATGCACCAGGGAATACCATAAAGCTTTCAGCGAACTTGAAGCTATCATTATCACCTGGTCATTTGGGTCTCCTTTTACCAGGGAGCCAAACAACAGAGGAAAAAGTTACCATGCTGGTGGGAGTAGTTGTCACTGACTACCACAAGGAGTTAGAGTTAGTGCTGCACAATCAGGAAAGAAGGAATGTATCTAGAAACTGAGGGATTCCTTGGAGCATCTCTTGGTGCTTCTATGCCTGGTAACAATGGTCAACAGGCAACTAGAGGAAATGGCCTGACAAAGGCAAAGCGACTGACTCAGACCCTCGGTGAAGACCTGTGTTGCCCCTACCAGAGAACAATCTAGATCAGCCAAAGTGCCACCCAGAGTGAAGGAGAATCAAGACTGGGTGCAGGAGGACAGAGATGAAGATGATGAATGTCAACTATGGCCTCAAGACCAACAGGGTTTGGAGCTTGTTCCACTAACTATTTTGTATTAAATCTTTGTGGCATTTTTCGTTGGCTACCACCATGAAGGGACTTTGGGACAGATGGGACTTCAAAGGGAAGGAGGGTGTGAACACACTGAAGGTGAGCTGTTAATGGCTATCAAGTGTGTGCCACTTCAGGTTCTTTCAGCCCCATCTCTGTCCCTAGTCGCTGCTACAGAGACCAGTTCCAAGGAAGAGTTGACTAGTTTTGCATAATCTCGCTTCCAGCCAACACTGCATTCCTCTTTCTCCTGCCCTGGGCTTCTCTGATGTGATGGCATGGGCCTCCCATGGGAATGCCGTTGGCACTCAAGCATGTATAACCTGCAAATGAGCAGGGGTGGGAGGGGGTTAATGCTTGAGGGGCCAGCATTGAACAATAGGCACAGCAGGAGCCCATTGATAAAGCCTCTTTCATTCTCAGCTAAACTATCCAAGGCACATTTCTTAAGCCCCCTCAGAAGGTCCTGTGTGATAGAGTCCCCACTGTGCTGGTCAACTTAATAAAAACACGTTGCTGTATTGACTTTTCTTCCTTCTCTGTTTCACTTTGTCTGCCCTTCACTTCTGCTCCCTGGGATCACCTCCCAAATGAATTGCTTTCACACTTGCTTTTGTCTTCGCGCCTTTGCTTTGGGGAAAACCCAGTTTAGGACACCACTGATCTTCATAACAGAGAATTAATTTCCTCTGGCCACCCAGAGCTGCATTCATTCTTAACTTTCTTTAGAAATAATTCAATGCAACTGGGAGTCAGTGTGCTTGGATAAGGCAATCCCTCTTTGGAGAATTAAGACTGGCAGTTTTCCCCAGGGAAGACTTTCTTCTCTGTTGACATCATTGCTAATGGTCCCATTTTGGCCTCTGGTTTTGTTTTCTTTTAGGAGTTTGAAATAAGATGCCCAACTTCTTTGAAACAAACAAGCAAAAAAACATCTACTTAGTCTTTTCACATTAACCCTGCCCAGAAGGTGCCTGGTAAATATCCAGGATTTAGCAAATAACCAGTATATGAAAGAATTCTCCTTTATCCTTTAGTTGCTGCATTTATTTTCTTTGCTGTTTCACAGAGTCTCGAAATCTTGTTTTCTTCCCTTTAAATGACAGCCTATTTTCTTTGGCACATCCCCAAGAATACAGCAACAGTCAAACTCACTGCTATGTGAAAGCGCTGTATTTATTTAGAAGTTACTCAGAAGGCCGTGAGAGTAGGAGACCTGGATTGTAGGAAGTAGCCCCAGGAAACTCAGTGTATTTTCTTTCCTGTCTTTTTGCCAGGATGCCAGTTTTTTTTCTTGGCCAATAGTAATTTGCAATAAGGTCAAGATTCATGCTAGTTGGAATCTCATAGGATATCAGTCACTTTGCTTTCTTATAAGCAATTGCTTACCCTTACAAAATGGAACATTGAGGGGGAAATGACATATTTAGCTCAGGGTTCTACATGACAAATCGGTTTTGATAATCTTCCCAGATTAATTCTGGGAGAGTAGACACCATAACAAAGACAAAGAATGGACTACATACATAGACATCCATCATACTCGAGGAGAGATTCAGTCTGTGTTAAAAACAGAATAAACTTCAAAAGAATACAGCAACTGCTCCCAACTGACCCATAAAGAGAATAGAAATTAGAAATCGAATGCTAAAAATCAGAAGGCTTAGGAGTGAATTTGAGGACTGATATGTAGACATTTTCAACAAAGTGTAGCTCATTAAATGGTGACTGACAGTGTGTTTTTGAAGTCATCAAAGGCTAGAAATCGAGATTGCTCAAATTGGACAGATGGTAGGATTCTGTAACATTGGTCTCGGGGTGGGGAATGCGTTCAGAAAGGGGGTAAAATTTGCGCCACTTTTAGCTTCCCTATCAAAATTAGGAAATTTTCTGAGCATTACAAATAACCTTCAAAAAGACTGTTCCATCTTCCAGAGACCAGAATTTAAGAGGCAAAAAAACATGAAATTTCCCAGGTTCAATTCTCCCATAAGATTATAGACAGTGAAAAGTAATGACTGAGTTATCATTAGTGTCAGCAAGGAGCCCTTTAGGAAACATGTTGCAGTTTTAGAGACCAAATGCCATAGTAATCTTACTTTCTCATTTCACCGCCATGATAGCCCTTCAGCAATTAAAAGTTAAAGAATAAAATCATTATATTTAAAAATTCAGTTGTCAATTAAGACAAACAGTATTTAATTCCATGACAAATTCAGTGGAATTATTTTGCATTGTATAAATAAGATAGCGGGCTTTTTAACAGAATTTTTCATTTTTTAGCTGGAAGTATAGGCGTCATACACAGATTCAAAGGCGGAACAGAATGAGCCGATGACCACGAAGCTTACCATTTCCACCAAGGATAGATACAAGAACATCCCAGCAGTGACCGTGAAGATCCAGTCTTGAACACATGGATCAGCTGACACTGAAAGGCCAACGTATAGTCCTATGAAGGCAGTTAGAGCACTTATGAAATTCATCAGGATGGCAGTCTTGATAGAAAGTCCAGAGCTTAAGAGCACTGCAAAGTCTCCTGAAGTTTAAGGGAAAGAGAAAATATAATCATCATTTAACTGATGACGGCTTTGGAAAAAGTAACGTGCTATTAGGCTGTTTCAAATGTCAGCAACTGGAACCAATTTTATAAGTAAAGTTGAATGATCAGTTAATAAAATGCTTTCCTATTTTTCTCTAAGATTCATAGCCAATTCATGATACTATTAGGAAGTTGCATTTCAAGAGCTCTGTTCCTTTCATTGCTCCTAAAGGTAGCTTATATAAAGAGGTCTGTGACACACTCTTTAGTTTCTGATATCCTGTGACTTTTTAGATAAATATAAAATAAAGTCACTTGCTGTCCCAGGGTTTCTAAATCTTTGGGCTTGGAAACTTGCTAGGTGAAATCACAACAGTATATGAGCTTTTATTATTCATTTGTGCATGAACTGCTAGGGGAAAAGAAAACTACTTAATAGATTTTTAAATAATTGCAAAAGTTGGTTATGAAAACAAATTTTTCCTTTAGAAAATGGTTTTACTGACTTGATGATTATAGGAAAACAAGCTTATTCTCTGCACCTTACCTCTGAAAGAACATTGACCTATTAGTAAATCTGAGAGCAGCCATTTCTTGGTTTCAGGGGTTGAGACTGAAATGTAATAAAGAGACAGCCAGGGGGACTCAGTTTCATAGTTCCATTACATAATTGGTCCTATGAACAGATCTTGAAACATCTTTGCTGGCCTGCTGCAGACTGTCATTGTGTGGTCTGGGGTTGAGGACCAGAGTCTACACCACTGTCATAGTAGCTAAAGTCGGGACCATAGATTCGGGGTGGCTTCCAGACCATGCATTTTAATGCATTCAGGAAGGATTTTGGATAAACTGTTACAAGAAGGATGGGTCAAAATGAGTCAGTGGCAGGACTTTTAGCAAGGGACATGAAGCACAAAAAGGCAAGAGTGCCCAAGGGCCTGTGTGGGCCTGAAGTGGAAGCAGAGAGACTGCTGAGTCCTCTTCCCTGGGGCATTTGTGTGCCAGACCAGCCTCTGTAATTCTGAGTCCGTTTCAGAAAATGTCCATTTTAACCCACCTTGGTTCCTGGGAGGCATGATTGGAATTACAGGGCTATTAAGATTATCCAGAAAAAGAGTCCCACGTGCATCTGCACCACACACCTGTCATTTCGATGTTATGCTTGGCTTTCAACATTTTATCTAAATCAGGTTGACGAAACCATGGTTTGGTTTTAATTTAAATGTTATCTTGCTGACATAATGGGTGAAGTTCCCCTCTCAATATTTTCCTATATTTAATATGCAGGTTTTCAAGTCCTTGCCAAAGTTCTTTCAAATGAGGTTTCTCTGAATGACTCTGTCCAGAATGCAAAAAGAGTCATTTCTGGCCCTGGGAAAGATGATAAAAGAGACTAATTCGATTTTATCAAGATACGGGAATTTTTTTTTTCTAGTGTTCTTCCTCTTCTAGTTTAAATAAATTATAAACAGAAAGCATTCATGTTTTAATTGTAGGTCAGAAAAAAGAACCACACTAAACCATAGCTAGAAATACATATGACTCTTTCAACAAGCAGGGAAGAGTGATTCCACTGTTGCACTCACCCATTTCGTGTGGAATTTCATGACACAAGATAGCAACTGTGGTGGTCATTCCTGACTCAGATGAAGATGAGAAGGCTGCTCCTATCACTAGGCCATCTGCAAAATTATGCAGGCTGTCCCCAACCAGAATCATTATTGCCAACAGGCTAATGGCTTTGCCTAAAGAACCAAACGAAGGTGCAAGAAGCATTAATAGATCATTGTACATGTTACAGAATCCTTCCAATCCAACCAACTTTCCCATTCACCCTTGATGTTCTTATATTGCATTTGATCACATAACCCCCTTCGTTTCAGCTTTCAAAGTGAGTACTAGAGATATAGATATGGTAACCAACATGCTTAAATGTATGGGCACTGCTTTTCTAACTGGTCTAACTAATGAGATAAAGTAGCGAACATCCACACATAACTTATCATCTTGTTCAGCTATGTCGAAAGAAGACAATAAAAACAATGTTATAACCTCCCAAAATTCTACTGATGACCTTTCCATCTGTGTCTTTTGTAATGCATTTTAAAATAATTTGAGAACTTTGCTATAGACTGAATGTTTATGTCCCTTCCAGAAGTTGTACGTTGAAACTTATTCCCCTCGTGTGATCGTTCAAGGAGGTGGGCCCTTTGGGATGGGATTAGTGCCTTTATAAAAGAGATGCCAGAGAGCTCCCTCTCCCCCTCAGCCATGTGAGGACGCAGCAGGAAGGCGCCATCTTTGAACCAGAAAGCAATCCCTTGCCTTGCACCTTGACCTTGGACTTCCGGCTCCAGAGCCATGAGAAAGAGCCATCTAGTCTATGGTCATTTGTAGCAGCCCGAATGGGCCAAGACAAACCTCCCTGTGGAATGTCATTAAAACAGAGTCTATTTTCCAAAACTGTTCCCCTGAGTAAGATTGTTCCTGGTTTAATCTGCAGTAGTGTACTTTCCTGGGTTAATCTTCCTGTGGCCACTGTGTGGTTGCTTTCCCTTTTGTGATAGTGCTAGTGACTTTCCGGAAGTGCCTCATTCACTCCGCAATGGCGATCACAATAGAATCAGGACCAATTCTTCTTGGCCCCAAAGTTAGCTTTGGAACAATTACTCAATGTTCTTGTCTTTCTGCAACATACCTTTCAGTACTAGACCAGTTAGATATTGAACAAAATAATGAGAAGCTTTCATTTCCATGAGATTTTGTTACATCATACATGCTATCTGATCAGAAGAGAGTCAATGAAATAATTTTGATCATAATTGGGTTCAGGTTTTTAATGGACAAATTACTGTTTTGATAAACCTAAATTATATATTAGTATAACCCAATTATAGGGTTGACTGACTCACAAACACAAAAAGTGTGTTGTGGATAACACTTATTCTGGCAGTAATCTGCCTAGGTGCACCTTTTGATCAGGATAGTCATTAATCAATTGTCATAGTCTAAAACCTCATTAATTACCCAGCTGAATATATACTGTGTGACAGGTGTAAGTAGTAGCTGTTCTTACTGTTAGAACTGAATACATTATTTTAATACCTATGCTGAATAAAAATAGAAAAATGTTACCTCCAGGTTTCTAACTGTTATATGGTCTAAGACTGCAAGGGGGATGGTGTTATGATTTTGTTTGCTATTTTATTTGGAGAACATGTGATTCATTTTATATCCCACACCATAAAATAAGAAACTTCAGTAAACAGCAGATATAACCCAGATTATCATCTAGGAGATAGCTACCTTGACTGTGATGCAAAGGTGTCCTGTGCATTTTACTTCAAAAATCATTGGAATTTAGAAATATCACTGTAAGACTGACTTATATCCTTCTTGTGGTTTACTAATTTATTTTATCTTTTGTTAAAAATGGGCAGATTTCAAGCAACAGTCATAAAAACACAATCAATGCAGAATTATTGAATTCAGGGAATTTTTACTGGCATTGTCTGGAAACTCTCAGAGTCTAGTAATGCTACCAGGTCACTTAGCTGTTAATGCCAATTTTCAGAAATAAAACTCTTCTTTGTGAAAATAAAATTTAAAAAAACATTCAAAATGATACATTTGACAACATCGCAGCAAGCGAATAAAATTGTGATTTCCGCATGCCTATATGTAATGTTGATATTAATAGCATATATTTCAATGGAAGAGTTTTGGCCAATATATATTCTGCTAGGAAACAGTGTGGCCTATTTTTGCTGCCTATTATTTTGTTATCTCCAACTGTGGGTTTCTAAATGTCAGATCATGGATATGTAGCAAGCCACGAGGCAAATATACACATTTGCATGTAAGCCACAAAGAACACATTATGCATATCTTAAAATAATTTAAGCCTTATTCAGTGAAACATAAGACAAGCATTCGCTGGTAATTTAATATGCTCGTAACAGAATTATCTATAATATTTTGCCTTTACTCATGTACCTGGAAATCATATTGAGCTTCACATTTCTGAACTATCAGAGGTTTTCCATAGTGAAATATAGGCTGGAAGTGGAATCATTTTGCTTTTTGTTTATTTAAATCAGACTGTGGATAGGATTTTTGTATCCTGTCTTTTGAAACACAAATTCTACCAATGAGGTAACATGAAATAAGTAATCAAATATTTGAAGCTAATTCAATATGTCCCTGGCAAAAGGAAAGTTGAGTAATCTGATTTGGATTTGTTCACTATTCATGGCGTATGCCAAGCTTGACAGGAGTAGGAAGATAGGAGGCCTGTTTGAATAAGACCATCATTCTCCCTGATCTAGCATCCACTCTCTGGCTCTCTGCTCCTAATCAGACTTGCCTTCTTTTCTCCTTCCTTTTTTCCAAAGGGAAAGTGGAAAAAAAAAATGTCTATTGCACACCTACTATGTGGCATACATTCTAAAATTACTCTTGAAACTAAAAACGTAGAAGGAAAAATATTAATGATGTTCTTAAAGCAGAAATAGAATATATAATTACATATTCTGAATCAAATATATTACATGACTTATTTTATCTGAAACATTTAGAATAGTAGTCATTACAATAGTGTTTGTTCTTAACAGTATTTCTATTCCCATGACGTTACAAACTACGGATAAAAACTACGCTTATTCCATTCCCCAGTCCATACACAGCACCTGAAACATGGCACATCTTCAAACATTTCTTGGATAAAATGAAAGAATATGTGCAAATGCATCGATGTATGAATGAATGAGCACAAAGAAACTGTTGGTTCGTTAGCATTTCTTCAGTTCCCCAATGCTAAAGCTTACTAGCTATATAATGCTGATCATGACTTAACCCTTCTAACTATTGGTTTTTTCATTTGTGTAATTCCGATAATATTTATTTCCACTCCCTCAATGACAATATCATCAACGAGACATTTACAGCGATGGAATTTTAGTAGACTGTGACAGAAGATGAAAAACCAATGATGTGTCCACACTCCCTAGTGAAGTAAAAGTCTCCATCATCACACAAGAATGATTGAAAAGGAGCCTGATAAACATGTATGTATTCACACAACTGAAGTTTTCAGGGGACCAATTTTAAACGATTGGGGAAAACATCAATTTTTAAAGAATGGGGTAAAGTTGGTGTGAATGTGTAGTACATTTGAGGGATGGATAGAAATTGGTCTTTATTAAAAATCTTACTGCAAAGTTGTTAATGAAAGACATACTCAGTATGAAATCTACATGGTGTTGACATATTTATTTTACAACAGACATAAACGTTTTCTATGGCACCTTCTACAGGTAAAGTTTAACTTTTGTAAAATTTGTACTCACATTTTCTGCTGGAGGCTGTTACACTGTCTATGGGAATTTCAGCTGCCTGTGAATCTTCTGGGCCTCTCTGTTTTAAATTAAAAAACAACTGATGAAAGATAAGTAATGGTGATCATCTTATTGAAAAAATGAAACATCTGAAGAGTTATGTTGACTTTTAGAAGACATTTTAATACTCCAGGTGTATATTAGAACCTCTAAGTTTCATAGATGACACACA